TCATAAAACTATGGAATGTAAAGTTTGAAAAGGCCTTTCATGTTATATGCTTTCACGCTGGCATTAAGTTTTAACTCTAATAAGAAGACACACATTTTTCTGTTTATTTACAGATATTTTACCGATATGTTTTGGATGTTCCTTCTCTTAAAAAAAAAAAAAAAAAAAAAAAAAAAAAAAANTCTCAATTAAAAAGAGATATCATTTTGTTTTCGCTTGCATTAAGAAAGAATATCGAAAATTTTTCGTTTTTAGATCTAATAAGCCACAATAAAGAAGGGACGTTACAATGCTACACGCTACATTGAAGACGTCTTCAGAGCAACTGAACGACTGTTCATATAGAAATCGCAGGTATTCGTGTCACGCAAAAACGTCCCCTGTAGTTCCTTGCGGTCGCGAATAGACAATTGTAAACAATAACATAACTTTTTTTTCTGAAACAGAAGTTAACAGAGAGTTAAACGCCTTCTGTTGACAAAGTTATTCAACAGTTATATTGATGGTATCTTGTAAGGAATTATTGTAATATATTACAAAATATTGTATCTAGTTATTTTCGGGATTTAAGATTGCAAATATAATGTCAAATTATAAAACTTTAAATTCGGATATTCGAGTTTTATTGTTATTGTGCTGTCCCATAGCGTGGGGTTTTAGGAAATAACACTCTTATATCTAACAAGCACTATTTATTAATTAATTACAACATTTAGAATTTAGAATACAAAAGATGCGTCTTAACGCAACGCTAACAGATGATGAATACAAACTGAAACTTTTAGAGGGAAAGTCCCAATTCGATTGCGTAGGCGTGATAGTTCGTAAACATAGCCTCGAACGGCTAAATACACGACATCTCCTCCCCCTTTAAAATGGAGATTTAAAAGTCAAGTCTCTTAGGGGGCCGTCTAATCCTTTGTGATCGCCTCGGCTGAAATGGAGTTTGTTGAGAAGTTGAAGATGGAGTACTTCTCGGCAAAACAGCTGAACTCGGGTTCTTAGTTTGAGATGGTTGGCGAGTTTCTGGTGTTGATTTGACAGATCCAGAGTGTTTTTGGATATCTCTGCCAGGATCAGTGGGTGCAGGAGAATTATCCGCGGTGCCCATGTGTGGAGTTTCACTGCTGAAACTAATTCGTGGAACGTGAATAGTCTTATCTAAGATCTGGTCTCCTGTTGGTCGCATTTGGTCTACGTGGCGTCTATACAATGTACCTTGCACATTAACTGTGTAATGAAGAGCTCCATCTTTGCTCATAACTGTTCCAAATTTCCACCTTGCGTTGGGTGAACGATAGTCTCGAATAGCCATCTTATCACCTTCGTGAAAAATACGATCTTGAAAANGAGGGAAAGTCCCAATTCGATTGCGTAGGCGTGATAGTTCGTAAACATAGCCTCGAACGGCTAAATACACGACAGTTATTAAATTGAATTTTAACTGAAATGAAGTCAAGATTCAAACTGTTACCGATATTGGGATTGAAAATGAAATACTATTTTGGAGAAAATAGATAAAATACTAATTATAATTCGAAATATCGTATATGTAATTAAAAATTGTGCATTATATATTAGACAATCAAGCAATATTTTTAAAAATTGTTTTTTATTTTATATTGATTTTTTTTTCTTACTATAGCTTGAGTGACAGAGGCTATGCTCCAATTTCTGTAGTCACCTAAAAATATTTTTGTGAAGCTAATTTTCAGTATGGTCAAATTTTTGCCATTTACTGTTAAACTAATTTATTATTATGTGGATCAAATTTATTATTTAGATTTTATCTGATTGTTGGTTCCAGACTTACAAATTTTTATGTTTGGAATTTGTCGTTGAAATGAGATACGAATTCAATCAGTCGATCAACATTAGATGTGCACTGTTCGTTTGCACTACTATTAAAGACTTATCAAGATTTACAGAAAGAATTTGCATACTTAAAATTTTCAAAATAATATGCATTTACTTTCCTTACTAGAAAGTTAATAAATAAAATTATGATACCAGTATATTTAGAAGTAAAACAGTAAAAATTGTACTGAGTAAATTTTTATATTTCTCTTTTATTTTTAAATATAAAACTTACTAAGATTGTGGATACATTTTGAAACAAACAATTAATTTTCAATTTGGCGGGATATACAAAAATAAAAAAAAACTATTATTGATGCTGATGTAATTCAAGAAAAAAAATTCAGCCCATAATATCTAATTAATAGTGGGAAAAAATAGTTCAAAATTTTTTTATATGAGATTTCGCCTTTTTTTTTTCTTTTGTAGGTGATTTTGCTTAAAACTCAGTTGTTGATTTTTTTTTACGTTAAATTTTTGAGTTGAAGAGAATAAAAAAATATTCGAACTGGAGTCCTAATAGTAATTAAAATTCTATATTTCTTATATTCCATTCTTTTATTTCTTATGTACGATAGAAGTTTTACTTTTAATCAACGAAATTTAAAAGCCATATGAAAAAGAGCTGAAACTAATCAAAAAGCATGCGCATAATTTTTTTTCTAACTGTAAAACTGATTTAAAAGTCTGGAAACATGCATTCCTTAACCAGTAATTCTAAAATAGAACATCCTAAAACTAACTATAGGACCTAAAGAGAAAGAAAAATAGAAGGAAGAAAGCGCCTGTTCATGGTTGCAAAGAGCAACCAGAAGCCAGCATAACCACATCGATCGGTGGGAACTGACGTCACGTGACTAGTTACTTCAGTGTCACTAGTGTGAATAATGGAACACGACAACCAAGGATAGAGCCGCACTATTCTAAACGTTAAACTGTCTAGTGTGTTCAGAAAATTAGTCTCTGATGTATTTCTTCCGACTGATGCGATCCCAGACAAGTGCGAACTGCCTGTACTGCGGGGTCGACATGAAGGATCACTTCCTCCTGGAATGTCCCTTATTCCAGATTGCTCGAAAAGAACTTTTCCAGCCCTCTTCAGAATGCAGCATTTACTGATATCGTGAACTGTCCCTCAATCCTTCGACCAAACTTCAAGCTCTCTTCAAATTCTTCCATACCATAAACCGTTGACTCAGTACTGCATTGCACTTTTCTGCTATCTATCTAGCCTCAACCATAATTTTCATTAATGCAAATAAAGAGCTATAAGCTAACGCAAGGAGCTCGTCGCACTTCCCTATAATAATCTACAATATAAACAATCACGAAACCTGTTCTGGAAATTTCACAATTATTTATTATATTTATCACTTTTTTTAGTATATTCTTAGAAATTTTTAACTCATTAAAGTTAATCAAAAAAGTACATTTGTAGCCGTGATTTATCTGGATCTCTATTTACCTGTAACAGATCTTTTCCTCTGGCACTGTATTCTATATACTGAAGAAATCCCTTCTTATAAATTGAGGAAAAAAAGCATCTTCATTTAAAAAAATTTAACATTTTTGTGCCTAAATGAAAAGTTAATTATGCAGTTTGTATTGAAAACTCACAGGCTCTGCTTATTCGCTGTCTCTTCTTGCCTGTTAAGAAAGAATCGCCACTGTGCGCATTTATGAAAACATTAACGTTGTTGCAGTGATAATAAATCTTAGTTGTGGATGTTTGTCGTAGGAAGATCTGACTGACTTAACAATCTTATTACCAGCCAACATAGAATATTTAAATCTTTCATTTGCATGCTAAAATATTTGCCATTAAAATAGGTTGTAATCAATTGAAATATAATAGAACATAGTAACTTTTTCCCATCAAAATGAAATTTTATACCTATGTGATTAAACATTTGTGCATTAATCACTGTATTAACCTTCGATAAGTAACCTTATTTAAACAGTATGTCTATATCATAATACATTTATATATTATTTGCTCCATAAGTATGGTTTGTGTAGTTAATGTGGTAGCCTAAATATATAATTATAAATATAGCCTTGAAATTTGTTTTTAATGTATCTCTAAAAATTTTAACCAATTAATAAGAATTGTTCTGTATTTTAATGTTATCACAGTTATAATGTTTAATTATTGATAATGATTAAATTATTATTTTTTTTGCCTTTATTTTTATTCTGAAATTAGTTTTGATATCATTTCTTAATATAAACTTTTCTTATTTTCCTGGAAAACATATTTTTTGAAAAAGTTTCAAAAACAAGAATAAACTACAGATTTTTTTCTTAAAACTGTGTTTAACTTGCTTTGATAAAGGGAAGATTTACAGCATAAATATATACAGCATATATTTCACTGATATTATGTTTAACTTCATTTATTTACAATTAGACTTATGTACACTTTTATTTGAAGTTTTATTAATGTAGCATCTGCCTCACAACAGAAAGTTACCTTACTAAGTTTAAGATCATTCAAGTTAATGAGTAAGAAAAAGTATTGCAATTAGAATTGTTCAGGGAAAGGTTTTATTATAGTGATGTACTCATGTTTCAGCACAGTTGGTTTTAAACTAATGGTAAACCCAATTATTGTAGTATGAGTTTTTTGCAGAGTAGTCTGGTTGAACATAGCCAGGTTCATACTAGTGAAAAACCTTATTCTTGTAATATATGTAATAAGAGTTTCTCCCTAAGAAGTAATTTGACTGAACACAATCGTGTTCATACTGGTGAAAAACTTTTTTCTTGTAGTATTTGTAATAAAATATTTTTAAATAAAAGTCGTCTGACAGAACACAGTCGTGTACATACTGGTGAGAAACCGTATTCTTGCGGTATATGTAATAAGAGTTTCTCCCAAAGAAGCAATTTGACTGCACACAGTCGTGTTCATACTGGTGAAAAACCTTTTTCTTGTAGTATATGTAATAAAAGCTTTTTAAATAGAAGTCATCTGGCAGAGCATAGTCGTGTACATACTGGTGAGAAACCGTATACTTGTAGTACATGTAATAAGAGTTTTACCCAAAAAAGTAATTTGATTAAACATAGTCAAGTTCATATTGTTGAGAAAGCTTATTCGTGTAGTATATGTAATAAGAGTTTTTCACAAAAAAGTCGTCTGACTGAACACATTCATTTGCATACTGGTGAGAAACCGTATTCTTGTAGTGTATGTAATAAGAGTTTCTCCCAAAGAAATCATTTGACTGAACACAGTCATGTTCATACTGGTGAAAAACCTTTCTATTGTTTTATATGTAATAAAAACTTTTTAAATTCAAGTCGTCTGACGGAACACAGTCGTGTGCATACTGGTGAGAAACCGTATACTTGTAGTATATGTAATAAAAGTTTCTCCCAAAAAAGTAATTTGAATAAACATAGCAATGTACATACTGGTGAGAAACCGTATTCTTGTAGTATATGTAATAAGGGTTTCACCCAAAAAACTAATTTGACTAAACATAGTCGTGTTCATACTGCTAAGAAAACTAATTCTTGTAATCTGACTCAGCACAAACTTATTCCTACTGGCGAGAAACCTTACTCTTGCAGTGTATGTAATAAGAGTTTTTCAATAATACATCATCTGGTTGAACACAGCCTTGTTCATACGGGAGAAAAACCATTTTCATGTAGTATATGTAATAAGACTTTTAGACAGAGATCTACTATGTCTAAACACAGTTTTGTTCATACGAGTGAGAAACCTTTTTCTTGTAGTATATGTAATAAGAGTTTTTCCCACAAGTCTGCTCTGAATCAACATTATCTGGTTCATACTGGTGAAAAACCTTATTTTTGCAGTGTATGTAACAAGAGTTTTTCACGACGAAATCATCTGAATGAACATATTCATGTTCATAGTAGTGAAAAACCCTATTCTTGTAGTTTATGTAATAAGAATTTTTCCCGGAGGTCTGCTCTGACTAAACACAATCAGGTTCATACTGGTGAGAAACCTTATTCTTGTAGTATTTGTAATAAAAGTTTTTCACGAAGATATTGTCTGACTAAGCATAGTCTGATTCATGACGGTGAAAAACCTTAATCTTGTAGTATTTGTAATAAGAGTTTTTCACATAGTTGCAGTTCAAACGCAATCGTGTACACACAGATAAATAATCTTTTTCATATGTCATACGTAATGAGATACAAATCTATCTGACCACATGTATGTTCATACTATTGAGAATTACGTATGAATTTTGTAGTATATGTTAAAAAATACTTCTTCATAAAAATCATCAGTTTTCATACTGGTGAGAAAATGTTTTCTTGTAGTTAAAGTTGTATAAGTTTTTTTCTGACGAAGATTTTAAGTGTGTGCTTATAGTTGTGTCCAGAGTGCTGATTACCCTTTATTTTCAGAATAGTGATGTTCATTATTTTCACTGCAGTTAGAAATATTGCCTCACTTTCCAATTTTTATGTTAGAACAAGTTATATCAGAAATTATTTTAACTGACTACAAAAGTGTCATGTATAACAGCATTTAATGCCAAATAAAAAAAAAAAATTTTTTTTTTGACATAGCTGATGATCACTTTCAATATGATACGGCTTAGAAATGCAAAAATAGGGATCTTGCTGAATATTCATTTTGATTGATTGTGATGCTTTTTTGCAACCACTTTTTTGTTTCAATTGAACCATACTATGCAATTTATTGTCTAATTACTTTGCTTTTAAAATATGTCATTTTTGATTAAAATTAATTTTGTGCAAAATTTTACCTGTATTTATTTAGTATAACATAAAATTATTCATTAATACTTAATACTAGTTGAATACTGATTCTTCGCACAAGATGAATAATTATAAAAAAAAGGATCAATAAATCAATGCTGAGCCCCTTTTCAGAATCGCAGCAACATTTTAGCAGAATGTTACAGAGTTCTTGCAGAAATATTTTTCTTTTAGAAAGTAAAAACAATTTATATTTCTTTTCTACAGAAAATTACATGTAATATTTGAATCATGCATTTAGATATTCACTTCTTAACGAGCTCAATTTACGCTGATAGTATCGGTGAGCGATGTAATATTTCGATTGTATTTTCGGCAGTTATTGATATTGATTTTCATCTACATTTTAAATATCCCGATATAATTTAAACAATATGGACAATTGGAATCTTGCTTTTGAGTATTTAATTTTTAAGGCAATAATTCTATCGAATTTTTAACAGTTATTGCTATTGACTTCTCCATAATTTTTAAATTTGATACAATACGATATTATTTATTACAGCAACCTGATCTCGAAATGAAACGTGCATTTGAGGAGTCCGATTCGCGTAATATCCTCGTTGGCATTTTTTTTGGCAAAAGCTACTACGGATTTCATGATTTTTAATTTTTTTTGTGATGATTATTTACAAAATGAGAAGAAAATAATTTGCGCGTTTTCCCACCCCCAAGAAAGTGCTAGAATATTACCCATAATATCAGAATAAAAAATTATGTTCAATTAAAATATATATATGTATATATACATATATATATATTTGTAAATACAGCGCTTTTGTTAATTTAAATAAGTAACATATATGTTTGTTATTAATAAAAGTATATTGCAGTAAGATATTAGGTAGTGCTAGAGAGTTTTGTCGCCGACAGCTCAAAAAAATTCTGCTACAGGGTTACTGAGTAACACTACAAAATCATGCACAAAACTGACAGTCATATGTAGACACATAAAGAGCTTTATAGAAGAACCAGGTAAGTGACATTTTATAGGAAATTAATGAATCTGAGAAAATAACGAAAAGTGGTTGCGACAATATGGGTATCCTTAATTAATTGTTTTTGCCTTCACTTTAATCTTAACATTCAGTTAATCGCATGAGTTTTTGGTATGTTTGCATGATTTTTATTTCAAATAAGGCAATCGGAAATAAAATAAAGCAAAGATTTATTAGTTCTAATTTCTACTAAGTTGATAATAAAATAATTCTGATATGATTTTTTCTTTTCATTCTAGAAATGTCAATTAACTGATTTTGAATTAATATAGTTTTTTTTAAAAATTAAATATTGTATGTAAATTAAATATTGTATAGCTCTTTTTTGTATATTGTATAGCTCTAAAAAATTAAATATTGTATAGCTCTTTTTTTGTAGTTCATACCATTGGAATAAAGTTCAAATATTTTTAGCACCATTTGGCATGATGCAATTTGCTCTCTGATAATTTTAATTCAATTGTTGATTCATAATTTTTTTAGTATCGGTGATGACACCATTATATTTTATTTGTGTTAAATATAAATCGTGACCCCATGTGATTTTGCGCCTCAATTTTATTAACAGCCATCCATTTCAAATGCATATGTAACCTGTGGAAACCTGAAAAAAAAACTCTTATTCCAAAATTTAAAAGAACCTGAGATCGTCAATATACATTTTCCCCGTAGCATATTAAACAGTAGAAAACATGAAACATCGTTATAAAAGACATTGCTATTCCATGAGTTATTGGAAAAATGATATTTAGGGATAAATATGTACCGTATAAAAAAAATTATAATATTGAGAACAACCCTTGTTACTTCGGACTGAAAAATTTCCAATCCTAAAGGATTTTCTTAATTTTATTTACTTCATTTTCTTTTCCTTTTAAGAGTTACTGATTTTTCAGATTAAACTATTTGTATGTAAAATCTTCGTATCTGGTTTCATAATCTAAAAAATTATTGCTAAAAATACAAAATTTTAATTTTATCTAAGATTTTAAATGAAATATATTGCTAAAATTAATAATGTTAGTAATATATAACTAATTATTTATTATAGGGCCACTTATCTTGCTTGTAGAAAAAACCATATTTGTCTTAAAAGTTTAATTAGGTTTAATTTTCAAATATTATGTTACTTTTTTTTCTTCTTATATAGGTATATTTACACTTACAAACAAATAACGTAAAAAATTTTTTTACAATGTCTCTGTAAAAAATTATTGCAGTCTTCAGTAAATGAAAATATATGTATATTTACCGGCCACCGATAATTGAATTTCTTGAAATTTTGCAAATTTGAAATGAATATAATGTGTTATAAATCGACACTGATTTATGTAAAAACAACTGCCAAACTTGCTATTAGAACGTAGCTGTTTGAAAGAGCAAACTAAAACTAATATTACATATAATTTGTTATTCTTTAACATAGACTTTTGATAGATATTTTCTTTTTAAAACAAAATATCCGAAAATTAATTAATGTCAATGAGTATTTTTTGATCAAAAATTGACTATAATAAATAATTTGAATAACTGTTTATTATTTTTATTTATTTTACATTCCTACTACGTTTGAATTATAGTATTAAAATGGATTCATTATGGGGAAAGGATTCATTCTTAAATAATCCCGAAAGATTTACAAAAAAAAAGAAATCAAGTGCAGACTGCGCTTTTTTTATTATTATTATTTAATATTTATTAATGAAATAGTGAGAGCTATATCGAAAATTTTCCACAGATTCTTCTCTTTTCGATGTGCTTTTAAAATTACCATCTGTGTTTGGCTAAATTTTCATTTCTTCACTTGAAAGAAAGAGCGGAGTTCGACGAATTAAAATATAAAATTCGAATTATGTAAACATTTAGTACCTAAATTCTCAATGATATACGCAATTCTTATTGTTGGAGATGGCGAGTTTTACAGAGCAAGCGTGTAGCCAAAAATAAATCTAAATACAAAAACTGGGACAATAAGTTCGAAGCAAGTATGGCGTAAGCATTTGTTAAAGTCGGTGAGCGATAGTGAACAGGAGATGCAGGCTTCAGATGGATGAGTTCCAGTTCATCGTAATGTTGAACACATGATCGTTTTTCACGAAATGCTGTTGCGAGAATGCTTTAATTGGCGATCGAAATGGGCTGCAGGTGGCGTAGAGCAGAACTCTTTTCCTATGGCAACACTTCACATGCTTTCCCCATTAGCGTGTGGAAAGTCATAGAGGAAGGAAGTACGTTAGTTTCTCTCTTGATTTTCATAAAGATTAAAATCTTTCAACTTGAAACACTATATGAAACTGAAAACTGCANGAGTACTGAAAGTTTTTGAAAGGGCCTCCGCCAAAAATTTTTGCCCCAGGGCCCCGAGGGGTGAAGTTACGGCACTGGGCGTAAGCATTTGTTAAAGTCGGTGAGCGATAGTGAACAGGAGATGCAGGCTTCAGATGGATGAGTTCCAGTTCATCGTAATGTTGACCACATGATCGTTTTTCACGAAATGCTGTTGCGGGAATGCCTTAAAATGAACGGAAAAAATTATGTCAGAAATAACTTTGACAAAAATGTAATTTGTATATGACTGAAAACTTTTGTGTTAATTTAAATGATAGATGTTGAAAGCACAAAAAATGTCTTTTGCAGTTAAAAATGCTTCATAAAAAATAAATATATAATATTTCATGAAACTGAAGTCGCAAAAATGTCTTAATATCCCTCAGAACAGATCTAATAGACCCAAATAAAAATTCTCAAGTCCTTGAAAAGTTTCTTTTTAATTTTGTTCTCAGTTAAATATATATTTGGCGATTCCAAATATATTTTTTACATTATTCGTTACAAGAATTTTAAGAATACATATTAATGATAGACTGTAATAAGCACCTTATCATAAAAATCTGAATAAATCCTATAATAAATAAGTTGTATTTAATTCTAGTCTCATTGAAAGAATATACAATTATTGCTCCATTTTTTTCTGGAACATATTAAAGGGACGAAAATCTGATATACCGAAATTTATACAATAAAAATGGAATTTACGGATGCTGCACCCAAAGTACCGATATTTTATACCATATTTTTTTTACCGTTTAGTAGGTAAGGCTCTGAATCATCAATGTGAAGAACTAGGTTCGATCACCAGGACTGCATAAAGCTCATCCATTTTCAAATCGACCATCATGCCTTCAAGTCTTAATCTCCGTAACTCCCCTGCCTAATCTGAGCTTTTGCTTTATTTTACCCGAGCAACACAAATATTCATAAAATATCTTAGTATCATTCGAACATTAAAATATCTATTTAATATCATTACGATATTCTACAGTCATTTGTGTTACTTGGGTACTTTATAAACAAAAGCGTGTTTTCATTATAATTTATTAAGTTACATTAAAAAAAAAATTCGTTTCTTTTTGTGCGTTTAAGACATTTTGTATTATTTCTTAATTTTTATTTTCTATATTCCAACCTTTTTAAAAAACAATTTTTCTGTTTATTATTATTTAATCTATTTATTTACATGAAGTGTTATTTAAATATAATGAGAAAATTTTTATATTATGTATAAACGATTTAATACTTTGTTATAATTCCTGACTCAAAATTGCACTTTTAATTACACAGAATTTAAAAGAATTCAAAAAAGTCCATTGAAACTGATACCTATGAGTACCAAAGTGAAATCTTAAGAAAAAAATTTTAAAGTTACAAAAATTCCGAAATATAATTAACAAGGAAAGCATAATCTCTTGTATTGAATTTGTATCAAATTTTTTTGTATTGTTGAAAGAACAAACTTTAATAAATATTAGCATTCATTTATTAGTAAAGTTAAGATTGCAAATGTAAAATTTGTATTATTTCCTCAGTAAAATAATTAAGAAGCGATGTAGAGTAAAAATTAGCAAACAAATATAAGTTTTGATTTTATTAAACTTCATTTTTTTTGGTATAATAGTTAACATTCAATAAAGTATCAGATGTAA